TATTTACTCATTTCTCTCCCGAAAATTGAGTTCATATAATTAGAGCCCTGCATATCCGCGGACTATCCGCAGTAAACGGGCGGACGCGGATAAAAATTAGACAAAGTTTGGCGGATTGCAATCCGATGCGGATGTCAGGGGCTGCGGATGCGGATATCCGCGGATCCGGATCACATAGTTTCGTCGACATTTGACGTTTGATCGAAAGGCTTCTCGTGTTCACCTCATCGAAAAACCTGAGACGTTTCGTCGCACACAACCCTGCTATTTTTGTAACAAACTTTTTGTACCTCGCCTAGATTACAGGGGGGAGGGGGGTATAGTTTGGTTAAGCTCGCTATAGTGATTCGCGCGCTAGCTTTTAGCGGCTTAGTGAAGAAACGCGTTGTCAACAAAACGTCGCAGGGGCCTGTGCCCAAAAAACATACAGTGTCGACAAACCGTGTGTCCATGAAATGCATGTCCATGAAAAGTTGTCCACGAAACGTATTTCCACAAAACGCGTTTCGTAGAAATATTAGGGATCCTAAGAAAGATCTGATTCTCACTGAAGATTGCTTATGTTAGTGCGTGCTCTCTCGTCAAAAATTGCTATCTATAAAAAGTAAAAATTACAGGGCATCAATTGTTCCGAGAAAGCTAGTACATTGGCAGGGAAAGAGCGGAAACTTTCTCCGAGCAAAAAAGAACAAAAAACCTCAAACTTTTAAGTCACAAGAAAGTAAGAAGAAACGTCTCCTTCTCCGCAAAGAGTAGTGTGGTCATGATTCCAAAAACAAAATAAGTGCCTCGACATCCGTTTTGTGCACTTGTTCTGGGCAGAGTGTCGCGGACTCCTAGGACGATTACATAACTGATATAATTTTTCCTTCGACGCGCAGTGTCTCGGGAAGACTGGTCGCTTTTAATATAAATACGATGAAACTGATAATGATAAAATGACATCCCCTCTGAATGGTGACCCGAAGATTTCTTTGTACAAAGATAAGCAAACAACTTAAAAAGTGCTTTTTTTGAATTTTTTTTTTCCATTCTCGCTTGATATTATGATATGCAATGAATGCCTGGATTGTGAGTTGGATCTGGTTTTACATTTTGCGGATGCGGTTCGGATACGGATACAAAGTATGCGGATACAGATCGGATACGGATACGATAATGTAAAAAGTTTCCGGATGCGGTTTGGATGCGGCTACAAAGTCTGCGGATGCGGATCGGATGCGGATAATCAAACTGTTATCCGCGCAGGGCTCTGATATAACATAGTAGCTATATTAAAGGGGTCCGTATTAATGATGCACGAGTGTACTGCGTAAGATGTCAGAATACGGGATGCTTAACACAATTCTTGTGGTTTAGAAGTCATACTTCTGAATGCCCTAACGAAGCTTGCATCCGCGATGGGTTGTCGAGTGAGTAAAAATAGTAATCTTGTATTTGTCGCGTACCTGATCTGTCACTTTTAATGCGTGAGCATTAGAAGTGTTTATTTTTATTATTATGTTTATTATTTAAAATGTTTTTTTTTTCTTTCGTTTGTCAGCGCAGGGTAATAGGAAGAAGGAGTGGGAGAGGGCGTCGCGCGCTACGCTCCCGTTGGTGGGAAGAACTGACATCAACACGCGTCAACATCTCCCAATCTCCCCGGCTCTGACAAACTGACAGACACCACAGGTTTTCTTCAAAAAGAGCCATTTTGTTTTCGTTAAAGGCACGCGCGCAGCGGGCTCGGAACCAGAGAGGAGGCAGCGCCACGCAAGACCTAGATAATAAAGCGAATGATATTGTGCCATCACACAAGGTCAACGCCAGACAGATTGGAAATGTGTGCTCGAGTAAAGTTTGTGCCAAACGTTGATGCAGTCGTCGTGTCCAATCTGTGCCCAGCCTTGGCCTTTTCTAATGACGCCATCTCATTCTTCAGTACGGCTTTGTTATCTAGGAGGTGTTGTGCCGCGGCGCGGTGGAATGCGGGAAAACTCAGCTGACGCTCTGTCATCCCCGGTTGTTCTTCGCTTTCGGTTTCCGTAGTAGCGGTGCGTGGGCTGTGATGTATATGTGTAGTTAAAATGATGGATGCAGTTCCCACCTCAAGTGATATGGATGCGGTTCCTTCCATGAGCGGTATAGAGGTGGTTGTTTCAACGAGTGATATGCAATAGGGAATGCGTTAGCATGACGCTTGGATGACCTTATCCAAGGACGTTGACGTACTCTGACAGGCAGCGTCCAGGAAAGGGGTGAACAAAATGGCAGGAAGATCCATTGATGCATTCTTAGAGAATGCGTGAGCATGTCCCTTTGGAGAACGCCACACACGTCCCCTGTTTGGGAAACGCTAACACTGACTTTGTAACCAGGCCAAGAAGAGGCAGCAAAAAGTATAGAAAGCAAAAAAGAAAGCCAAAGTCAAAGACAAAGCAAGAAGCTGAGAAGGTCAGCGTTAGCGATGCCCAAAGGGGGACGTGGGTGGAGTTTTTCAAGGGTCATGCTATCGCATTCCCTAAGAATCCACCAATGGCTCTTCCTGTAATTGTTTTACTCGAGCTTTTCACTACAATATGTCTCCACATAATAGGGAGTTTTAGAATAACGTACGCAATTTTAGCGCACGCTAGCGCCAAATTTAGCGCTTGCATTAGGGCCCGCGACGCGAGTGTGTTTCAGAATAGCGTTTCTCCGTCGCGACGGAAAAGCCCAAGCATCTCGCGCTCGCGACGCCACCAAGATACAGTCAAAATTTTCATTTCGCACACGAAATGCTGTAACCTTAGAGAGAAGCAAATTTTTTAATCCAGAGTACGATTTTAGATTTGTTTAAACACGAGAATGCGACGCGAGCGTTTGACCGGTCGTGCCCGCTTGCGTCGCCTCGGCAAGAGAGGTCTCGTGTACAGACCTTCGCACATCGTACCTTCGCAGAGAAGTGTTCGCGCGTCGCAAGCATCAAGTTGCCGGTGATCGTTGCCAAACCGAGTACAATTTCGTCTCGTATTGAAAATTACAGTCGCGAGGATGCCGCCGACGTCGCACTCACGACGCCACCTCAGCAGCCCGCGACATAATCCTGGAAGCCGCCATTTTTGCTTAACTCTGCTCGTCTTGGCTTTAGCCAACTTCTCATCATGAATCCTCCTTGTAGAAGCGCAAAGGCTCTTTGCCTACGCACGCTATTTCCGAGAAATAGCGCACGCTAAAATTGCGCACGCAAAGCGCAAAACCTGGTTTGCGTTCGGAGCATGCGCAGTGGCGACGACGCTATTCTTTGCGTGCGCAAAGCTTTAGCGTGCGCTATACCAAAAATCCCTAATATTTCGAATGATTTCAGATTACTGATGCCATCAAGATCTACAAAGAGGTCAGATAACATGTCTATTTTGAACTACAGAAGGTACGATATCTGTTATTTTTTCATAATGTGCTAAACAAAATAACAAATGCTTTTAATTAAGAAAAAAAAGTTGTATATTTTTGGTCGCGCATACATGTGGTATCCTTTTTTTGTACAAGTCAATAACCTTGACGCCGAGAAGTTTGCTTCTGGGACTTGGTGTCTAAGTTTATTTTTCTTTTAGTTTTAATATCCGCGACTTCGAAGGGTCGTCGAGTCTCACCGAACTTTATGTCTGCTGTGCGTTTGAGACTACTTTCGCTCTGTAGTTCACAACGGTCTTAAAATAACTAGCCCTAAGCGGATAAAGATTGTTCCAAAAAATACTTGTCGCGGTTTAATTTTTTTATGAATCACCGTTGTTCAGAATGAGTTTGGAAACAGTGGGAGCTTGATGCAGCTTTTATGACTTTGTATTATTTATCAAAATTAAATACAGAACAACATGTTTCATTAGTCTTCTCCACTGTCTCTATTTTCGCACGATCCTAACATTTTCTGCGCACGCAAGCCATTCCCCTTCCCCTTTCACGAATATAGAAGAGTTTCAATGCTATATTACTATCGCGGTAATTATTCTTAAAGGGTGAACGCACGTCTGAAAGTTCCCTCACCATAAAGGTTAACTGAAGCTTTCATATATGATGTGTGTTGTTTTGTGTGTATGTGTGTTGTTGTTTCGCTAAATTACGTTTACCCGTATTTAGGCTATGGTTGTTTTCGGTCTCAATGAAGAAATGGTGCATTAATTCATCACCTAAGTTAAATAAAAAAAATAATGAATGATTAGGCTTTTTTTGCCAATTGCATAATAACACCTGCAGACATATTGAAAAGTGGCATTTTGATGAAACTTATCGACGAAGATAATATTGATCATCAAAATTGTATTCACATTGTAAGTTTGTTTTAAATTTGTGGTGCGCTAATAAGAGGCAGGCCGTTAGCATAACGGTCACTGTTACTTTCACTAAAACGTTGCAAGCCACATGCAGGTACTGTTTTTTCTTGTGGAATAACACAATGATTCACTACTGAAGTACTTGTTTGTAAGATACCCGAAAATATATTGTTTCGCTGAGATACGAACTCAGTATTAGAATTTGATGTTTGAGAACAAATACCCACACGTATTACCCGCGTATACAAAGTGGTAACAGTGACACCGCGGGATAAACATTTCAAGACGAATGCTGTGGCAGAGACCTCCAAGGTTTCTTCACTGTGTCTCTTTGCATACATACTGTAATATGTCAAACGATACCTCTCCTCCTCATTCTCAGAAATGAACTCTCACGTTGAACACCTTACTCGCGTGAAAGATATACGGCTACAAATGCTTTTATACAGCGGACGGTAGATTTCGGTAGGCTGTTTCAGAGGCAGTATAATAATCTGCACTCTAGACTCGCATGCAGGCGGGTTCGGAAACATCGGTGTCCAAAAGCCGTGTTTCTTTCATATGTTGTAAGCCGTGAAATGCAACCATTCGATCGTCAGAAGCTTTTGGCAAACAACTATGTGCCGTATTCAATGAAATCAATCAAGTTACTCTCCCCATTTTCCTTTATTCCTTACCAAAGAACAGCGTGCTTAATTGTCCGCTTACCAAAGGGGCCTTGTAGTGAATTTATTGGTAGTTGAACGTCCGCCTCCCATGGTCTTGGGGTCTTGGTTGGAACTGTAAAAAAAAGCAAATCTAAGACTTCTTGGAAAAATACACGTTGGGGAGGACCGGGTGGATTGAGGGGAAGGGGGAGATATAATGAGTGCTTTCCCTTATTAAAACAATTATTGTTGTCGTTCTGTCTTTTTTTTTCTTACTGATCAAGATTTTTGTGTAAGCTCGGTCGATTACACACATGCCAATTTTATTTTTCAGGTGATTCCGAAGGGTTGTGGGTGACTGAAACGTACGGGACGCCATGATATGGCTTCAGAATCAAAATCAATATTTCGATTCGTGCAAAATCAATATCTCGACACGCCAACATATTTTAGGCAGGAACAGCAACCTCTATAAATGCCTAACAATTTGAACTATACTGCAAATCAATGGACCCTTTCCAAAATTTAGTACCTTCTGGTGACCCAAATTGCAGTTTAACTTCTGTCATACTATTGGCGGAAAGTAACCTGTACACTGAAGTATTTTACAGGGTACCGTCACCTTCGCAATCGTATGGTACACTAGAATGTGTTCTTAACTCCATAGTCCTTTGTAAACATATTTCAGTTTCCCTGGTGACAAACATACAATCGGTCAAATATACTCCTTGATGGAATTTTGTATATATATCAAGGTACCTTAAGTCCGATTGTGTGCCGCCAACACATTCACTAGACACGAGTTATAAATAAGTGCTTGTGCAACTCTTGTTTTCAATTTCTGTGTCGTAATATACTAACGTCTTGACCATACAGGTATAGACCTTGCATCATCTGTTGAGAAAAGTGTTCAACTCCTTCCTGAACTGGTAACCATAAAGTTCACCATTAAAATGACAAATATGTCATTTCTCGCGTGATGAAAGTGATCGACATGTCAAGAACGAAGTCGGAAAAGAGTCTATACAAGCAAAAAAAAAAAGACTTCTCAGAGGTTAATGAGGCAGTCAAAGCTAGTTTTTGCTGCTTGCGCCCGCTTTCTTTTGATATGCACCTGCTTCAACGTCCACCCGCGCTGTCTTCAACTATCTGCGCTATATTGGGCTTGGCCCTCTCAAAATACCAATTAACCATTACACCAAAGTGAGCCTCGATAACAGGGATCCGGGCAATTGATCTACTCCGAGGCGGGATTAACCGCTCAACTTCACCAAATGGGACGTCGGCCGAGCGTCGCAGTCGATAGGATGGCGGGTCGATGCCTCGTTGCACGACGCGTGGGAAGCGCCGATAACGTTCATGCGGCTGCTGAATCGCCCTTGCGCTGTCTGGAATTAGAGACCAGTGGAATCCCCCGACACAACTCATTTTCTTCTACTCTGAAAGCCCGTTCGACCAGCGCTTTTGAGACGTCGCAGAAAACCAATGCCTGGTAGAGGCATTAGTTTGAAACTTTCTCAATAATTAATTAATTATTTCCATTCATTCATTCATTCATTATTTCTTAACATTCCGGTCAGGGTAATTATACAATGAAGGCGGGGAACGGCGACACGAGAAATGAAGTAAGAGTGGAACATTGACCTACACAAAAACGCAAAGCGTCCTACTTTATTCAATATAATGGCCTACACAAAAATTGTTTTAAATTGGACCAAGTGACGACCATGCCTGAAAATATGACTTATTATAAAGACGATACAGCTTTAAAACAAACATTGGTATTACTGATTACTACTATATATGATCTGACGCATTACTCCATTCAGTTATGGCAAGGGGAGGAAATGCGTTTGTATAAAGCAGCAGCGAAACTAAGGGGGCGGCGTACTATAGGGAAGGTAAGATATAAGCTTGATGCCTTTTTTGGCTCGTTCGCGGAAGGTTTCAGTGCTGCTCTGGTAGAATCACGGCTCTGTTCCGTTCGAACGTTGCTGCTAGCGGGCCCCCTACTGCCTCTGCGAGGCATCTCACGTTCGCTAATTACGTTTGCACCAAACTAATCTTTACGATCTTTTTGTTTCTTTTTTTTTTCTGGAGTTCGTATTTGCTCCTTTCCCCTTTTGCCCTTTTCCGTCAGTGCCTAATTGCTCTTTTACCCCTTTTCCTCTCCCTATATCTCCGCATTCTCCTCGCTTTTTTTGTTTCTTATTCCCCCGGCCAGTTGACTCTCCCCAATTCTCTTTTCTTTCACCACTCGAGCAGCATTGTTTGGACCTCTGACCTTTGATACCAGCGCGGCGAAGAAAAGGGCATTTTGCGCCCAACAATCGGATGAGCGGACGATTACTGGAAGAAAACAAGAAAGGACGCTTTACACTTAGAAACCGCGGTGGTGAAGAATAAACGCTTTACATTTATAAACCCCGGACCAGGTATATCGGGCTCGTTTATACAAGCGCTGGTTTTCACGAAACTCTTCAAACTCACTTGCATCTTTATTTCTAACTGATATTCTTTCCCCTCAACTGGACGGTCACGCGCCCAAATAAAACAAGAAAGAAAAAGATTACTTCTCGGCGACATATCATCTACTTAGTCGAGCTTCTCGTCACTCGTCCCGCCCTCCGTTGCTTAGGCTGGCAGTGACTCGGGTAAGGACTACTGAATCCTCTCATTTGAATTTCCCAAAATAAATAATATTTGATTCTAGGCCACAAAACTATAGAAAGCGTATAAATCTGTGCTCCGCTTTATCTTAAATTTTAACGTGGTCACAAACTAGTTGCGATAGAAACAACATAAGTACTAAGAACGTGATGGCACGACGCATTCTGCGCTCACGCATCACTGGAGTTTATTGGAGCAGTTCGCTGCATCTCACGCGTAAAAATGCAAAAACTGCCGTGTTACAGCGATTTCCGTGAAGCTTGATTTGCTCCTGGTGGTTCGTACTGACGGTAGTGCTCGGACCTATGATGAAACGGACTATAGCGTAACTGCTCAATACAGTAGCAAACTTCGGGGCGTATCTTATCGGTTGCTAGATGTTAAGCGCCTAATTCTGGAGAGGAAACTTTGACAGCTGAATTCGTGCGTTTGCATAGAACACCCCTCCAAATAATCAAACAAGTAAACACAAAAACGTTTTCGAATGTTTCAAACTTTTCGCGGTGGGACAGACATATTTGGTGTGGCTTGTGGATACAAGATCTTGATTTGATTACCGGAACCCGGCCACTGACATGTCTCGTTCACATCTCTATTAAGGAGTCCATTACAGAAGGCTTTCGGAAAATAGTTTGCAGCTCGTATCATTTGAACCCTCGCACACAGGTCAAAGACCGCCGATTATATATATATATATACTCTTTAGACTACACGTGCGCTCAATAAACAAACAAAGAAATGGAAAACATTGGGTTTTTTTAAAAGCTATCCGCTTTCTGTTTCTTCTATGGGTGCTCGATTGCAATATTTCTTTTTGGTTTCTTTCTCGTTAAAGTCGAGCAAGAAAAAAAAAAAGGACCAGAAATACAAATTTTTGAACCCGTGAATAGAAACCTCCGTCATGGCCTTTCCTTTCCCCAATGAAAAGGCTTCCGTTTCAAAGCGGGGGTTCGACGAAGAAATGCCAGAAAAGTACTTTTTTGGCAGTGGTTTAAAGGCACCTTTGCAAAAAGAGCTTCCCACCGCTCGGTCGAAGTTCGGGCAACCGAGGACATTAAATACCCCTCCTAAAAACTGAACGTCTCGAGGAACGCGGTTCGGTAAACACCCATCACTCTTTGGCTACCATTTGAAGTTCATCGATCGCCCGCCCCTATCAGTTTGCTCGGAGCCCTTTTCAGCGATGACTTTCTCGATTGGCGTTGGCGCAAAAGAAGAAACCGTATTTTTTGTAAGTGAGGGAAGATAAATGAGCACTTAAGAGAGCTCCTTTAAAATAGTATGCCGGCACAGCTGGAATGTCAGCCATTCGCAATGTTCTTGAAATGTGTGTTAATCCCAATTTTAAATTTAGACTAGAAAGTTTTAGAGCAGAAAAAGGCAAGCTTTCCCAAGGGTTTGTTTTCAAAACGTTAGCAGAAAGGAAAGCGCAGTAAACCACACGTCAATATGTCGTGACGGGTTTGTAGAAGAATTCCGTGCTTTACGTCGCAAACTGGCTCTCTCGCATGCAGTGGATGCTACCAAGGTTAAAGCATGCTGGCACGGGAGCACACAAGCTCATGCGCGTCCCGCGAATCACGTGGCCAACAACGTGCGCGTTGCTAGCGCCGCCTGTAGGCTTTGCTTAAATACATTATGAAGGAAGCAAACAAATCTCCCTGAGCATGACGTTGGTAAGGTGGGCTGCGCCGACATGGTGGTAGTGAATGTGCTGTTGGGTGCGCCGCGCATGACCACTGGGCTTAGCCGATTTTGGTAATTTCTCATACCTCAAACTTTCCCATTTTCAGCCTCTTGTAGGTGGAATTTGATCGAAACATTTTCCCTGTGGTCCTTTTAGGCGATACTAAAGAGAACTGCATTTTTTTTTAATGTTGAAAATTAACCGGAGTCGGCCTTTGAGAAACCCTGTGCGTGGCTAATTATGTTTACGATTCTTGCGTCGTGACCTGTTCTTCAGCGTTTGTATTGACTGATGCAGCGCTCTTATTGGTTGTTGAGTCAGTGCCTCATGTATTTTGAGAGCCTGGCAAAAGAGTCGAAAAACAATAAGCCGCCGCCGTCGTCACAAGCGCCACGTTTCGCCGGTAGGCGCGCCACAGAAACACGGTCATCTGTCGCCGCCACGCCGTAACGCACGGCAGTAACGGCGCACTACTGCCTGTACTCTCTGTTGTAATCGCAAAGATTTTACTTTATTTTAAATATACTGTTCGGCTTTTCGCACTAGAAACGGGCGTAGTTTGTGAGTCGCCGCCGTAATTTTTTTCCCAGAAAAAATATTTATGTTATTTGAAACGCAGTTTGCATACCTTTGACTAGCACAGAGTCGCACTATTAGGGACCAGCTTTTTCGTCGCATAGGGAAAATTAGCCTTTCTCTTCGGCCAGTGCCGGCAAAAGCGTCGTTTAAAAAAAAAAAAAAAACAAAAAAAACGTCCTGTGTGTGTGTGTGTGTTT